CTCGGAATAACAGGAATGCCCAAACCAAACCTAGGAGACACAAAACAAGTGGGTTAAGTGTTAGTGTTGACATGTTTGAATTTTAATTCAGCCCTAAATAGCAAGCAGCACCACAAATAGAGCTCGCTTGGCTTCGTGGAGTGTCTGCTTGGATGTGATCACAACGCAGCGTGCCAAGGTGGCTGCAGCTTTTGTGGCAGAAGGTACAACCACAGAATCACTAAGGTTGGAAAAGACACTTAAACAGTGAATCCTCAAGTCCAACCAGCAACCCAACAAGACCATGATCACTAAACCATGTCCCCAAGTGCCACATCTACATGTTTTTTTGAGCCCCTCCAGGGACAGGGACTCCAGCACCTCCCTGGGCAGCCTGGGGCAAGGCCTCACCACTCTGCCAGGAAAGAAATTCTTCATATAGTCAGCCAAAACCTTCCCTGGTGCAACTTCAGCCCATTGTCTCTCTACACATCACTATTTCCCAGGGAGAAGAGACCAACCCCCACCTCGCTCCAACCTCCTGTCAGGGAGTTGTGGAAAGCCAGAAGGTCTCCCCTGAGCCTCCTCTTCTCCAGACTCAACACCCCCAGGTCCCTCAGCTGCTCCTCACAAGCCATGTTCCCCACACCCCTCACCAGCTTCGTTGCCCTTCTCTGGACCCACTCCAGCCCCTCAAGGTCTTTCTTACCCTGTGGTGCCCAAACCTGACCCCAGTGCTCAAGCTGTGGCCTCCCCAGTGTCCAGTCAGGGACACAATCCCTCCCCTACTCCTGCTGGCCACACTAGTGCTCATCCAAGCCACCTAAGAGTCTTCACAATGACACAGAAAATCTAGAAAGAGGGAACACTTTACTCCTGTGTTTGCAGAAGAAGGATAAAATTAATGAGAAGGGTCAATGCCCTCTAGTGGTAAAGCTTCTAGTGGTTAGCCGGCGTTTCCTCCCAACTGACATTCTCACACATCCTGTCACAGGACGCAAAAAAAAAAAAATTAAAACAAAAATTTAAAAATCATTGCTTGCAAGGATGGAACAGCCTTATTGGACTGGGTGCTCAAAAGGAAGACCTTAAAGTAAATCATTCATCCCCAAGATACTTTGAGCTGTAACTACAGCCAGCAAGATGTTTTTATGGGAAGGTAAGACCCCAAATTCCCATGTAATCCTCACTTACAACATTCTGCTGATAATAAATCAGAGGCTGTAAAGAGCCAGAAACCAAGTGCAAAGTAGTCAAGACTGAATCAAAGCAGGGACTCCAAGATGCCTTCAAAGCCAAAACTAGCATGCTAACTCAAGTGATATTCTGACCCTAAAAGGATAACGAAACAAAGGGTGAAAAGTTTAAACACCCTATGAATCAAAATAAAAATCAAAGAAAGTGAGGACGAGTATTTTGGGAATAATTTCCAACATCAGTCAAGACCCCTCAAGATTTTCCCATTGCCTGAAGCATTTCAAAAGACCCTCTACAGAAAATCCAAATCTACAGACCAAGCTCCACAACAAACTTCCTTTTACACTTGGCTAAAAATAATTCACTTTTTAAGGTGATGGTGATAGCTTTCAATAACCAAAATCTGAGAGCATCTGTCCCAGATGCACAATCAGAAGAGTGCTTTGGACAGACTTCTCTTCACTGCATTAATCCTGTCCCATCTCATTAGCAAGGCAAGAGGGAGAGGCTGTGAAGAGAGCTGAAAAGGGCACTACTGACTTCAGCGCAACCAGTTTAAAAAACTGTGAAGCAATTTCCTGTACAATACACTTTTCTTCTGGCTTTAAAATCTTTTACAAGTCCTGCATGTCAAATAGAGAAGAAAAGCAGAGCTTTTACTAATACCAGGCTCCTTTCTATTGAGTCGTGTTGGAGGGAGCACCTTTTGTGAGACGAACAGGGGAAAAACATCAGTCAAGTTTCAGATTCAAAGATTTTTCAAGTTGAGGAAACTACTTCAGGAAAAAAAAAATAAAGTCATTCTCAACAGCAACAAACTGTTCCTGGTGATCCCACAAATACTTGCCTTTGCTGCTTCACATCTTGCATGCCTGAGGGCCACAGATACACCAAAGAGGAAACAGATTGTGGAGATAGAAAATACTCTGTACTCATTACTCCACCTTTAGAGGAATTCCTTCGGTTTGCTAGACTTTGATGGAAACATTTGCATTTCTTGGATGGTACAGGGTGCTCTTAATTTGGACACACAGAGGGTCAAATGCCTCCACTGGAAGTAAAACCAGCCACGCTGACTTCCCTGGGGCTGTGGTGAAGCCCACCAGTTACACATCACACTCACAAAGGAACCAGGTGCAGCAGCTGCTTCACTTACTCACTATCCCAGCTCAGTGGAGCTGATCTCTCCAGCCACACATAAAGATGCCTCCTGTTTTATACCATCTGGCTGATTCCAGAGGAAAAACCCTGCTCTTTGGAAACTTTCTTCACCAGTTGAAAGCAATGGGATAATTGCCATGAAAAGCAGCCACAGGGAAAAAAAAGCCTCTAGTACAGCTTTAGCAGCAGCTGAGGGCAGAAAGGGCTTTCTGTTCAACAACAAGAGGTAGTGTTCCTGGACATTTCAAGGTAGTGTTCAGTGTATGAAGGATGAATAAAAATATAGTTTTATTTTCTGATTTAACAGTCTTATCTATACTAGCTGTTAGAGGGGATAATTCATTTCCTTAGAAGAATGCCAGTTTAGAAGAGGCAGGAATTTCCAACACTGCTGTTCACCAGTTAATTCCTCCAACAAGGAGCCTGGACCTCAGAGAGGTGCTGAGCCTGCAGCTCCTTCGGACATGAGCTCTCACCTCCAGCTACAGAGGTGATGCAGCAGACTGTACTCATCTCATCTAAACTCCATGTCCCTCCTGCACCCATTGGGCAGGCTCTGGCAAGCTGCCTGGGCAGGAAGGAGCCTGCTCAGACTCCAAAAGCAGAACCACAGGTGGCCAGGGCTGGCCATAAAATCCAAACGTTCCACAAATCAGTGCATGATTTTGCAAATGAGACCATCAACATCCCTAAGCAGCTGGTGGGTTTCAGGCTGACACCACCATGAAACATCCATAAAAGAAGCTGACAGTTGATGCCAAAAATGAAGGGGGAACCACAGGTCATTACAGCAGTCAGTCAAGTACGATGCACTCACAGGACACCACACAATTACAGCACTCTGTGTAGCAAACTCACAATCAAGTTGTTTTCATGAGTCAGTTCAAGAGCACTTTAACTGCTGTGGGAGACACACTGAAGTTGCTTGGAGGCTCTTGGTCATAAAAGAGGGGCTTGTAGTGACAGGAAGAAGGGTAATAGCTTCAAACTGGAAGATGGGAGATTTAGATTAGGAATTAGGAAGAAGCTCTTCACTGTGAGGGTGGTGAGACACTGGCACAGGTTGCCCAGGGAAGTTGTGGAAGCTCCATTACTGGATGTGTTCAAGGCCAGGCTGGATGGGGCTTTGAGCAACCTGGTCTAGTGGGAGGTGTCCCTGCCCATGCCAGGGGAAGGAAGCTAGATGATCTTTAAGGTCCTTTCCTACCCAAACCATTCTGTCACTCCATACAGCCATGGTACAGTAGAGTTCAAAGGCAGAAGCAAATATCTCTGAGCTGCTGGCCACAAACTCTCACTTGTAGGTACTGAGCTTCTGGCTACCGCTTCTACCTGACTAACAGTTCCTTAACAAACTACTTTGAAGACAGTTTGCATATATTTCCGTAAATTGCAATAATATCTAGTGCAGATGCACCTAGATTCACTGATCCTGAAACAAAAAGGCATCTAGACAGTCCTCTACACATCCCCTAGCCCATAGAGCACCAAAGGTAGCCCTGCCTTCACTACCACGTCCCCAGCACTAGGGGAGGCAACGCAAAACAAGAACTAAAACTTTCCACAAAGCATATCTGAAAGATCTTCACATGAAAGCAACAGATGGTATATGTTCCAGCCACTGATAGCTAAAAAAGTGATGTAAACAAGGGAAAGACTTTACACTAAAGGAAAGGTAGCTCAGGGAAAGTACTTATAAGCTGCCAAGAGAACGACCAGTTACAGCTAGAACACCCATAATTCAAAGAGAGACAAAGAATGGAAAACACTGAAGCACAGCACTACAGAGACTAGAAGGAAATGCAATAACTCTATTGTCTCCAGAAGTGTGGTGCATCCACAAACCCCACATAAATTACCTTTATTGCTAATCAATGCTCTCCACTTGGTAAGTATTTACATTTATGAACTCTCTGGAGTCATCAGTAAAACAGATAAAACAGCGTTATGGACAGACATTTGGGGACCTCTTTCTGAAAAAGGCAATAGGGACATCCTTGCTGACCCCTCTCAAACAGGATTAGGAGAGGCTCTTCTGCTCATCACCCCCCTAGCCACTTCAGCAGGTCAGCTGTTTAAGACTCCTCCCCATCTCAGTCCCAGCACCCTGTTTGGTTCACCTGAAACACGCCTTTGTCCCCCGAGCTGCGGCTCGAGGTGCCCCACCAGCAGTCCTGGGCAGTCTCACACCTCAGTAACTGTGCCTCAAAGCCTGGCAGATTTACCTGCTACCCGGCCTAGCGCCAGGCAGCTTACTCAGTACCTACTCCTTTTATCTAGCGCCAAGATTTGAGATGTTCATCTCCAACAGCGCCAAAATTCTCCCCTGGAGCAGCCCTCCCTGACCCTCCACTCACAGTTCGGTTCTCTCCCGGCCGCCCCGTTTGCTCCAAGGCTTCCGCCCCGCCCTTCTGCTAGAGCAGCCCCTCCTCTCCTACGGTCGGCGCTAGCTCTCCTCACCCCCTTCTCTTCACCACAGCCCCACCGCAGGGCGACCCCACAGCTCCCCTTACCCCACTCCTCACCGCCCCACCTCATTAAGCCGCTGCCCC